TGCAACGGGACAACAGCAGCACATCTTTAGCAGCTAGATGAGATTAGAAAAGGGGCTTTCCTGCCTCACACATGTTTACCTGCTACCCTATGTCACCCTCTCTTAGCCCGGAAATGTGTGCTATAAGGATATAGAAACGACAGTGCTTAGAAAATGTTTAGGGTATGCCCCCTCCTCAGCACTAGGTTTCCAAAACCAACTCTCCATACCCTTAGCTCAGACAGCTAGAGAGATGGTGGCGGCGCGCTCATGACCAAGTAACAAGAGCATCCTATAGAACGTTTATGAGATCCTATGAGATGGCAGTCAAAGCTGCAACGCTGCATCTGCTAGCTCACGCCTGGCACAATTATTTAGAACCATTCGGTCGTTAACAGAGCTGCCACAGGGCAGACTAAATTCTAGGGAATTGGATATTGGCTGCGAGGCTTTTGCGAGCTATTTTGCAGATAAAGTTCTGCTACTCCACCATGACCTCCCCGCCACAGTTGAGATAGTGAGCGAAATCGAGGCCCCATGCATTCCTTCTAGATTATTTCAGTCCACTCAGTCTTGAGGGAGTCGACAAATTGCTCTCAACTGTACGCCCAACCACATGCAGCCTTGATCCATGCCCCTCATGGCTTATAAAAGCTGACCATGAGGGATTACGAGGTGCCCTCAGGGAGATTATCAACAAGTCCTTTGCTGAGGGGCTGTTCCCGGGGGCACTCAAGGAAGCGATGGTCCGCCCTCTCCTGAAAAAAACATAATTAGATCCAGGCAAATTAGCCAACTATCGACCAGCCTCCAATTTGCCCTATTTGGGCAAATTACTTGAGAGAGTGGTGGCGATTCAGTTGCAGAGCTTTATGAATGACACTTCCATGCTAGACCCGTTTCAGTCCGGCTTCCAGCCAGGTCATAGGACGGAGACGATTCTGGTCGCCCTCACAGACGACCTCCGGAGGCATCTGGATTGAGGCGGCATGGCGGTACTGGTGCTGTTGGACCTGTCGGTGGTGTTCGACATGGTCAACCACCAGTTACTGATCCACCACCTCGCTGACACTGGGATCCAGGGGCTTGCTTTGCAATGGCTCATCTCCTTTCTCCAAGGTTGGGGACAGAGGGTGGCATTAGGGGGCAGATGTCCCAGAGGTACCCACTTGTCTGTGGGGTTCCTCAGGGGGCAGTGCTATCTCCAGTGTTATTTAACATCTACATGTGCCCCCTTGCCCAGATTGTTCTGAGGCATAAGCTAGGGTGTCATCAATATGCTGATGACACCCAGCTATATCTGCTGTTGGGCGGGCGGTCCGGCTCTACCCCTGATGACCTGGAGCAGGCGCTTCAGGATGTTGCGGGCTGGCTTAGACTGAGCTGATTGAAATTGAATCCAACGAAGATGGAAGTCCTGTGCCTAGGTCGGAGCGGGTCGGAGGTAGGGATCCCACTACCCCCCTTCGGTGGGGTACCATTGGTGCCAGCACCGAGGGTTAGGAATTTGGGAGTGCTCCTGGATGCCGCCTTATCAATGGAAGCCCAGGTAGCAGCCACTGCCAAGGTAGCCTTTTACCATCTATGGCTGATAAGGCAGTTGGTTCCCTTCCTCAGACGCAAAGACCTGGCAACAGTGATCCATGCTATGGCCACCTCAAGATTAGACTACTGCAACACTCTCTACATGGGGCTGCCCTTGTCTCAGATTCGGAAACTGCAGCTAGTGCAAAATGCAGTGGCCAGGCTGCTGATGGGTCTCTCTATAAGGGACCACATCCAGCACTGCACTGGCTGCCGATAGTTTACCAGGTCCGTTTCAAGGTGCTGGTGTTGACCTTTAAAGCCCTATATGGTCAGGGGCCTATGTACTTAAGGGGACCGCCTTTCCCCATATGTTCCCCAGAGAGCGCTGAGGTCGGGGCTACAAAATCGCCTGGCTCTTTCTGGCCTGAAAGATGCCAGATTGGCTACCACCAGAGCCAGGGCCTTTTCCATGGTGGCCTAACACTGGTGGAATGAGCTCCCAAAGGACATCAGGGCCCTGCGGGACCTCTTACAGTTCCACAGGGCCTGTAAAACAGAGCTCTTCCACCAGGCTTTCGATTAGAAGCCGCCACCAATGTATTGAATCATTGGAACATCTATGGCCCTTGATATACCACTGGTTATATTTGCAGTGGACCATCTACTGAAGATCGCCATCATTTGTATTTATAGTATTTTAGTACTGTATGCTATTTTAACTAATTTATTGTACTTATTGTTTTATGTTATTGTGATTGTTGTACACCGCCTTGAGCCAGCTTGTCCGGCAAGGCAGGATAGAAATTAGAGTAGTAGTAGTAGTAGTAGTAGTAGTAGTAGTAGTAGTAGTAGTAGTAGTAATAATAATAATAATAATAATAATAATAATAATAATAATAATAATAGTGGTGGTGGTGGTGATAATACACCATGAAAAGCCTTCCAGATAAGAAGATGTAGCTTCCACAAGAGCTTCTACCCATCATCACTTCAGATTCACAGGTTCCCTCAGGCAGACCTCATATACAGAGGTGCAAGATTGTATTCTAGTAACACTTTAAAGACTAAGATTTTCAGGGTCTAAGGTTTGGAGAGTCAAGCTTTGACTCTTGAAAGCTCATAGTCTGGAAATGTTGCTGGTCTCTAAGGTGGTGCTGGACTTGAATCTTACTCCTCTACTGCAGACTTGCAAGGCTACCCACCTGAAACTTTAGAAAGATGGCGACTCTGATGCTCTGCAATTGTGGTAAGAGGCAGGATAACAATTATAATATTTATAAGCATTTATTGTTATATCTCAAACAGATTACAATCACTTTATGATGAGGGGTTTGTGTGAAGGTCTGAAGCTGCAAGCCACAAACCACTCTTACCAGAAATGTTCTACTAAAATCTCTGGATGTGCTTTG